AAATCAATTTGGTAGTGAATTTGGTGGATTTTGATGAAATTTGGATTTAGACCCAAATTAGGCATATGGGGCTAATTTGGGTCAAACTTGAGCTAGCTTTGGACTAAGCTCAGATTGATTGTTGTGTTTGGTCACAAATGACCTCACAAAGGATTTTCAACAAAAAATGGATGCCAATTTGAGGTTTAAGGTGTTAGCCAATATTGGGGCTAATTTGGGGTTTTGGATTTAAACCAAATTGGATGATCAAAAGGTTTTACCAATGCAAATTTATGATCAAATTTGATGTAAAAATATTGCTATGAAGCAAATACAACATTTCTTTGGGCCAATTGGCATGGTTATAATTCCAATTGATGTGATTTAGTCATTTAGCCAGGGTATTGTGAGGGAATGGTGAGGGTATTGTGAGGGTATTGTATACCTTAGCTCCAAACCAACACCCAGGGTCAATCCGAAGGTCAAGTAGCTCTATAGGAACTCTCCTTGAGTTCTCTCATAATGATCTTACCTACTAAGTGCTAGAGGTTAGGACCAATATGTGGAACTTCAAGTTGATTAAAGAAAAGAGGTTTGAGTTTCTAATGGTGAGCCTTTTCTAGTTTTTTTTTTTTCTAAGACTAGTCAATAGGAAAGGCCTATGGCCAAACCTAGGCTACCAAAGAAAGGCTACTAAAGAAGTTTCTAGACTTCAACCAAAAGTGAGGTCAACAGTTATCTCCGGAGATTTGATGTTGGCATTCATTACCTATTGATGTGTGAAATCTATCTTTATAGTCATCTATTCCACCTATTCCCCTCAAGAAAATGATCAAGCTTATCACCCATTATTGCTCAATTTTTTTTATATATTTCATTGATCATCACTTTGTGCATAACGATGACCAATGCTTGATGTACATCACATTGGTCGCCCAAACTTTCATCAGATGAGCAAAATATTTGAATTGACCATGCAAATTTTTATATTTATCGTAACCAAGGCTTGACATTGCCTCCTATTAGTAGAATGACCCAAAGAATATTTGTGGTAACAATAGACAATTAATAATTCCTTCCATTTTTTTAGTTGCCCAATCACTCATACGAGCCATGGAACTTTTCTTTTATATGTTTTTCAAAATTTTAAAAAAATAATCTAGTCAATGATGCGTTGTTCTTAATTTATTCAAAAATTGAGTAATGCTAAAACACTAACATTTCCCTTGATCACTATAGATATTTCAGCCTTCAATTCAATTGTTGAAGTTATGAGGCTTTTTTCAGACCCTCCCATCAAAGATCATGTGCAATTCAAGACGAGCCTCAAACCCGGAGGAGGCGAGCCTAAAAAGAGGGGACCTTGCCTTGAAAGACTATCATTAAAAGTTTAAAATTATAAAACGAGTATTTGATTATAATATTTTTATTTTTAAATATTTTCGACAGAAAAAACAAGGACTTGGGAGTAATGTTTGTCACACTAATTTTTATAGTCTCTAAGAAATTAGAAAATATTACGTACATCATACATAGAATTGAGTTTGTATGAAATTTACTAGGGAATATTGGAGGGTTATGTCACTGCTATTGAGGTTAATACCTTCAATAACCTCACAACACCCTCAAATGACAGGAAAAAGACGAGTGTCAAACCGTTGAATTTATTGGTAGGTTATTGAGAGGTTATTGAGATGTTATTGGAGTTACTACCTCCCGATAACCTCTTAATAACCCTTAATAACTGAGTTATTGAAAGGTTATTTGGGATAGACCTCCTCTAAATCCCTGAAATCAGGATTTTAGATTTACCAAAGCAGCAAATTTTGGAGCAAAATTTGAAGATTATATTCCGATTTATACGACACATTGACAGATTGGAGCATGAACAATAAGTTCATCCTCTCGGCTAAATATAACACAGTAAGGCACAAAACAAATCGGATATTTTGACTGATGGAATGCTAATCAAGACGAGCATTCGACAAAGATAAAACATACAATTTACAGAATATGGAAGCAACAGGCCCAGCTCCAAAGGTTGAAGCATTTAATAATCCATGAAGCATACAAAATATCAGAAATTATCATATTCCAAACATTATACAACCGGCAACACTGCCTTGACACTTCGCCTTTCTTCCCCTAATCTGCATATTCGAAGTGAGAAACACCATATGACAATCCATATTTGACAAAAATCCCAGAGAAAACGGCTCTTCCGGGCCTTCGGCTTCGTGTGGGTGCAGCAATAAATACCAGATGATTGATTCTCCGCCAATAATCTCTCAGCATGTCACACATTTCCAACCTCATTTCTATAAAATCAGAATCAGATCTCTCTTTGTTCTAGCCTTCATGCGTAGCCATTGGCATTGGTGTTAGAAACTTCAAATAAAGATTCAACTGATTCTTTGCTCGCTGATGCAGAGTTCCGTTACATGGATAGGCGCCTCAGCAGATGGATCTCGTCCCTCCAACGCTATCTGAGTAGAATCTGATAAAGTAGTAGCTTCCCTTACCTCCACGGCATTTGAATCTGCCTCCATTAATTGAGCATCTATGGTAACTGAACTTTGGTCTGATGTTCCAGCACCAGTATGACCTGGTGCAGGAGAATCAGAGCATTCCTTTTCTCCAGGTTGATCTGGAGCAACGTTGAATTTATCTGGAATATCAACAGCATCTACTTGGATGCCTGTTTCCAGCAGTGTTCCATTCTCCAGTTGTTCTGCAACAGACTCTGATGTTCCGGTCGCTGCCACTTGTTTGGCAGTTTCCCCAGCTGTTGCAGGATTACATGATTCTTCGCGTAAGGATCGATCATTTACTGAAAAGGAAACTTCAGTGGTCTCGAGAAGAAGGCCATGGGACTTTTCAGTTCCAACTTCTGTCCCTGGCAGTATTTGAAATAACTACAGATCTTAACATTTCCTGCAACAGAACCAGATAAATCTTGAAACATAGTTTTAATCAGCATATTACCTGATATATCTCCAGCCTCTGCGTGATCCAGGTCAAAATAAGAAAACTCTTGGTCTAGAGATTCAAGCAGCAGGTGGTCTGCAGCTGCACCAGTCTCCATTGGAGCAGGAACATCTTGGAACGGCTCTTCGCTTCCTGTGTTGGTCGGCGCAGAGTCCGAAACTACTACATCCCCAACTTGATACTGAGCAAGCTCAGAAAATTCTCCTGCAGCTCCAATTTCAGCATGGGTATTGTCAGCATAATCTTGAACTGTAATAATAGCAGCAACATTTTGCATCAGGGCTAATATCAAGGAACCGCCTCAGTTTGGGAAATTTACATAAGTAGCACACAATTACATATCTGACACTTAAACATCCATATTTACATGCATAGCACCAAAATCTATGCATGAAAAGGTGTATTTCACTTTTAATAAGTAGTCCCAGTATTATTTTTTGTGTTATTAAAGATTTGAATGCTATGGGTGTAAATAGGAAAGATTTGGTGTGAGATAAGTAAATACATAAGATTTGCATGCCTAGTAAATTAGTCTTTTGTTTCACTGTATAGATTTGAATGCTATGTAAATGTCGCATAACCATTTTTAGTTTCAATTCGAATCACTTTGTTTCACTGCAAATATCTGAAAATACTGGGATCTCAACTCCAAAGGTGAGAAGTATTAAGCTGTGTTGCAATGACAAGGAACCTTCTTATTATGAAACTCAGTTTTTGTTTGTTTGAGCTCCAGAGAAATTAACATTAATTTTATTATTATTATTATTATTATTATTATTATTTTAAGCAAAAAAGAAAATATTAGCTCATCATCCTCATTTAATATAATTTTATTAATTATATGAAAAGCACTGAAGGTCATCTTTTTAAAAGAGAATTTTGGGGTAGGAGCTCATTTCAATCTAATTTCAACCAAATAAATACTTGAACTGCTGAAGTTAGATCCAATCACTTCTAGCCCAAAAATAGAACAAACCGGCCCTCTTAAAATAAAATCGGAAAACTTTCTTCTAACATCATTACCTGTTGGCATCTCTGGTACGGTTCCAAAATGCCCTTGAGATTGAACAAAGAAAGATGATTCCTTGCTCACAGCTTCACACAAATTTCCATCCGAGGCACCATTAAATTCAGGTTCAGCTACAAAGAAAAACATGGTGAAAATATATAGCCCTTCCGATTTTGTTTAAAATTACAAAATGAAGTTTGTGAAAAAAAAATATACCCGAAATTCTAAGAGGGCCATCATTGATTAACGTGGCATCATCTTCACCAATGAATGGGTTCACCGGAGAAGACTTGGATGGAAAATGTCTGAGTCGGTAACTGAGTAATGCTGGCCCAAAAGTACTAAAATTGCCTGCGCCACTAAATGCCATTTCTGCATCAGTGCGTTTCTTAAAAACCACCATAGCACTGTTATTTTTCCTCTCAATAAATGTTTCCTCTTCTTTTAGAGGCCCATAACGACTAAAAATTCGAATAAGATCCAAGTCCGAAGGAAGAGAATTTGAACTATTGAAATATAAAATCACAGCAGTTGGTGTGCGCTCATCAATGATTTTTTCTTCCACACTAATAATTGGTCTTTCTGCGGTCAACAAATGTTTAACATGAGGACATATTGCTCCAGTATGCAATTTTGGTTCACAGTCTGATGGAGAATTTAAGATCAGTGATGAGGGTGATGATTCCTCAGTAAATTTTCTCTTCTTCCTACCTCTTCTTTTAGGAGGATTCAATGGCGCATCCTTTTCAGGTATAATCATATCAGACCAATAAGAATCCTTCATATGATCAGGAGTAGACATATCAGGTGACACTAAATCTAAAATAATCTTTTTCTTTCTCCCTCTTTTAGCTCTTGGTTTCTCGGTCTTATTCTTCTCTATAGAAGTGTTAGAAACTTGTACATTCCTGAAAATGCAAAAGAAGTTAATAACAGTAGACGAGAAATTATGTCCCTTCAAAGGGTTCCTTGCAGCTAAACAAAGTTTATACAGCATTTCATTCGTTGGAGGATAGTCCACAGAGAGGTCTATCTGTAACTTTGGATACTCAAAAGGAACATCAAAGAAATCATCAAGGTCCATATAATCAACGCTCCAATCATCTGTTTTTGACAGACCCCTCTCAGATGTTTCACTATGGCATTTGCGAATGGGTTGACCACTTGTCAGCTTACTTGCAGCTCTGCTAATGAACGCCCCCACTTTGAAAGAGCTATTAGACGTTGGCGATGGCAACTTGGTCTCTTCATCCACTTGAGAGTCAACTTTCTTTGTCTTGCTTCTCCCGATATCAGTGGAAACATAATCAAAAGCCTTACGTTTATTGCCAGATGAAACACAGTTCTCATCTTCCTGCACCTCAGATGCATTTTCATGCCTGTTTACAAGAAGAAAGGTTGTTTTCTCTTCCATCAATTCAGACAGGCTCTTTTGTTTTCTGCCATCCTCCACAATCTGCTTTTGATTGCCAAGTGAACCATCTCTGCTTTTCAACTTACCCTTGGTAGAGAACAAATCCGAAAGGGTTGCAGAATGATCTAAATCATCATCATTCAGCTTTTTGCTCATAGGAGTCTCAAAGTCATACTCAACCAACCCACTGCCATTTGTGAAAGCAGGAAGTTCTGTATATCCCCTCGAGAGATAGAAGGCTTTTAATTGAGCCTGAACAACTGCAAGCTCCAATCTATCCGCCCCTCCGAATGGGAGTTGTGCTAATGCTCTAACATACTCAAGAAATTGGTCAGGATGAAAATAATTGACAATCTCACACCTGTCAAAAACTGAATCAACAATTTTACCCTGCACCCCAGCATTTTCAACTTTTTGGTACTTGATATCAGCATATGTTTCTTCAGGAAGACACGAACAGATCATCGACAATTCTACACGCCTAGAGATTTCCGCCAAGATGTCACAGAGAGCATGTAAGAATGAATCGGAACTGGTTTGCTTTTCCATCTGAGAGTAAAACAATTGAAAAGGCTTCAAACGTGATTCTTCACACCAAGCAAATGTTTTGTCCCCAAAATATGCTACAAGAAAATGATCTTTCTTCTGGTATTTTATAGCCAGTTGTGAAGCGCCAGAGAAATCAAAAATTTGTCCTGGCCACCAAGGATGGCTTTTCACTTTACCCCAGACAAGGTCAGAGGTATAGAAACCCTCCTCTGGAAAACATAAATAGTAAGTGGCCCGCTGGCTGGTGGAAGCTGAGTCTGCCCTTGTGTCATCACATCCTTCACCTTGGTTCTCTGATTCCTTCAAATTCTCGGGTGTCCCATCTTGCATCTTCAAGCTACAATTAATAGTTTTATCCTCTGTATGCAAAGCAGGAAGGGTTCCCTGCACAGGTTCTACTTCTTCATGTTCCTTAGGAGGGACATTCAGAGGTCGCACATCTTGGCATCCAACAGAAAGTTCAGCCGATTCTGCTGAAGAGTCAGGTATGCTAATCCCCAAAAGTGAATTAGAATCCTCCATGATGCTATAACCTTTTTCCATGAAAACATTACTATGCAAGTGAGAACCTGAAGCATGTGCTTCTTCTTCCCTGCATGAAACCATCAGGGATGACGAATCTATTTTCTGGATTTGATGGTCAAAATTTAGCCGTGCATCCCCATTTTGAAATTCAGCTGATGCAACATTCATGACAGGACCATTATCCTCATAAAGAACATTTCCTTTATCTACCATATTATCAACAGCTGCATGTTCATCCGAACTCCACGCCTCAACATTAACTGGCATGTGTAGGACCATAGCAGTCATTGGAACATCAGAACATTCAACGATATTACCACTAACAACTGTATCCACTTGTCTTAAAGCTGTGTCTTGCTCTTCAATAATAGGAATGGAGTCCAGCTTCTGTACTGTTTCACCAGCAGCAGCATTGTTTTCATTAAAAATCTTCGAATCATTTTCTACAGATGAGGCTTGTGTGAAAACTTCAACTCTTTCTGTGCCCACTGGAGAATGGTGAACTATGCCAGCCTCCCCTCCAATGAGCACCAGCCCTGAACCTTGAAAACTTTCCAAACCATTGTCCTGTTTCTTATCTGCTGCTACCGTTTCATGGTTATAGACTTCATTTCCTGGAACCTGGTCATCTAAAGCACAGTGCATGATGCTATGATCCACTTCAACAACAGGCAGACAAGCCAAGTCCTTTTTAATCATGATTTCCACCCCTGCAGGAACCTCAGAATTCACTTGACTCAGATTGTGACCACTGTCTCGAATTATTTCATCTTCCATTTCATCTGGATGCCCTTCAGCCAAATCACAAACAACATATAGATTCACTCGATCAACACTATCCTGGAAATGTGCAACTTTATCCACCATATGAGATTCATCACCGCATTTAACTTTCACCTGCTTACCATCTGATCTTGGTGCAGCCTCTAACCCTTGAGCTTCAACTCCCTGACAAGCGACAGTAAAATCCAATGGCTCAGCATCTGATTCCATACATGATCCTATCCTATGATCACCACCAAATTCCTCTCTGGAGCCCAGATCCTCCCTATGCTTACTGTGAAGTAGTTCTTTAACATGCCCAGTATCTTTCATTGCATCAGCATTATTGCCTCCAATATTTTCTGGATGAGCCAATTTTGTATCTGGCGTTTCAGGTCTAATATTATCTTCTCCAACATCATCATGTTTTTCTCTAAATTCATATGAAGTCTCCAACCTATCATCCTCAGGTCCTCCACCACTAACTGAAACAGCAAGAGATACTTGCTCAGTTCCTCCCACCATGGTCTCGGCACCTACATCGGTATCCTGCCTCCGACCTCCATCAAATTCAGTTTGATGTTGCGCAGCATGTATAATTGGATCATAACCAGCAATTTCATTCTTTGTAGACTCGGGTAAATCTTTGGCTGAAGATCTGGTCCCATGAGTTGCTCCTCCAAACTCGACCTCTTTAATCAAATTTGATGATCCATTCAGCATCTCATCTTTGGGCTCTCTACAATCAATTGAAGCAACAACTGAATATTCATCAGTTTTGAGAACACACACTGCACCCACATCGCTTTCTTGCTTCTGTTCGCTAGAATATCCGTCTTCCAAGTCCATAACTTGACTGCTGGGCTCAGCAGTAACAGAACCTCCAGCTGCAACAGAAACTAGCTCTGTACTGCCTTTCTGCCTGACGAGCAGTTCCAAGAACATTTCACTATAAGGCTCTACTTCAGCTTTCCTTTTTCCAGGGCCTAATTCACCATCGAAAACCTGATTATGTCCATCCACTATATCCTGCAGAACCTCAGTGTGCTCATTCTCCAAAAGCAATGATCTTTCCAAATCATCCTCGGGCGCTCCAATAGCACTTGAAACATTAGCATAATCTCCACTGGTTCCTACCTCGTACTCTGCATTTACATCAGTTCCTTGCTTTTGACCATCATCAGATCCATGTTCGAGGTCCATCACTTGACTACAAGCCTCAACAGCTTCAAACCCTTCAGCTGAGATGGCAAATGGCTCAGCAGCTTCTTTAGCCACAGTTTCCACTTTTAATAACTTCCCACCATGAGAGTCAACAATAGGCGTCCTTTCTCTATGGATCAGTTCAATATCTACAGCCTGACCACATCCATCCACCAACTTTTGCAAAGCCTCGCCATGCTCAATTCCCAAAACAGTTGATTCATCTTCCAACCTTTCATCCTGAGGACCTTCACCGCCAGCTGAAACAGCAGCAGAATCATCACAAATATCAACATTGTCCTCTGTATTAACATCAATTCCTTGCACCTGATCAACACCAGATCGGTCTCCCAAATTCATAGCTTGACAACTAACCTCGACAGCTTCAGAACTTACAGCTGAAGCAGCAATCAGATCTTTTCTTTTCTCCTCCAAGTCCACCTCCAACAACATTCTATCATGAGATTCAAGTTCATTTTCAATCTGCCCACAACCATCCACCAATTGCACCAGAACCTCAACTTGTTCTTTTCCAGAAGGCAGTGATCCCTCCAAACTTGCATTCCCCAGAGTTCCACCCACAATCAAAACAGTAACAGAATCTGCATTCCTTGCCATGTCTTCTGCATCTCCATCGGTTCTTTGTATATGATCACTGCCTGATCCACTTCCCAAGTTCATAGCATGACTGCCAGACACAACAGCTTCAGAACGTTCAGTGGAAGCAACAACCAGCTTTGTGCTCCCCTTCTCCCCCATGTCAACATCCATGCACCTCTCACCATAAGATTGAACTTCAGGTAAACTTATTGCAGTGCCCAGTTCACATTCTACAACCTCATTAATTCCATCCACCAAATTGTCCTGAAACTCTGAATCTTCTTTCCTTGAGATCAATATTTCTTCCAACCTTGCATCCTCAGGTGCTGCTCCACTAGCAAGTGAAATAGAAGCAGGATCTTCATCAGTTCTGACAATGGACTCTGCATCAACATCAGTTTCTAGCCTCTGATTACCACCATATCCATCAATCAAATTCATAGGGTCACTGTTAGCCTTCCAATTTAAAAACCCTTCAGTAGAAAGAGTAGGCAGCTCTGTAATTCCTTCATCATCCCTGTCAACTTCCAAAAATTTCTCACCATGAGATTCAACTTCAGCCACACTTTTCCCAGGACTTGATTCAGCATCTAATGCCATGCCTTCTACATTTACATCAGTTCCCCCCTTTTGATCACCATCAGATCCATCTCCAAAGTCCATAGCCTGACCACTAGTCTCAACACGTTCAAATGTTGCACTTGAAACAGCAACAGGCTCTGCACTTTCTTTCTCACTCTGGTCCACTTCCGAAAGTTTTCTGCTGATAGAATTGAGTTCAGCATCCCTTTCTGCAGGGCCTAATTGAACATCTTGATTCATGCCTTCTGCACCTGCATCAATTCCTTGAATCTGGTCATCACCAGAACCGTCTCCCGAGTTCATAGCTTGATTGCTAGCCTCAACGGCATCAAAATCTTCAGCAGAAGCAGCAACTAGATCAGCACCTTCTTTCTCCCCAGTGTGCAATTCCAACAGCATCCCTTCATGAGAATCAACCTCAGCTTTACTTTCCCCACAGCCTAATTGAGCACCTACAACCCGATCACTTTCATCCACCTGAATCTCAAACTGTTCCATTCTCAAAGTTGATGATCCTTCCATCTTTTCATTGTCAACCCCTTTACCAACAACTAAAACAGTAAGAGAACCTCCATCAGTTCCCATCAGACCCTCCATATCTACATCAACACTTTGCTCTGGATCACCACCAGCTCCATCTCCCAAGTTCATAGCTTCACTACTAGCCCCCACAGTTTCAGGCAGTTCAGATGAAGCACCCAACAGCTTTGCACTCACCTTCTCCCCCATGTTCACTTCTATGCACCTACTACCACCATAAGATTTAAATTCAGCTTCTCTTTTCCTGGTGTCCAGTTCACCATGAACAGGCTGATCTCTTTCATCACCTAAATCATCCCAAACAACAACCTGTTTTTTTCTCAAAATGAACGATGGCTCTGATCTTTCATCCTCAGGTCCTCCAGTACATGTCCCAGAAGTTTCATTAATTCTGACCACGCCTTCTGCATCAACACCAACTGCTAACCTCTGATCATCACCAGATCTGTGTACCAAATTTATGGCATGACTGCTAGCTTCAACAGGTTCGAATACTTTAGAAGAAACAGCGACCGGATCAGCAATTCTTTTCTCACTGTAGACATCTTCCAAAAGCTTCCCACCACTACCAACTGAAATGGGAATAGAATCTTCATTAATTCTAGCTATGCTCTCTACATTAAAACCAGCTCCTCGCCTCTGATCATCACCGGATCCATAGCTCAAATCCTTAGCTTGACTGCAAACTTTAGCATGTTGTTCAAGCCTTTCAGTTGAAATAGAAACCAGAACTGTGCTTCCTTTTTTCACCATTTCCATTTCCAAAGGCTTTTCTTCAGGAGTTTCAACCTCACCTTTCCTTTTTCCAGAGCCCAGTTCACCATCTATAACCATGCCTTCCTCATTTATTTCAGTTCCTCGCTTCTGATCACCACCAGATCCATCATGAAAATTCATAGGATTTCTGCTAGCCTCAACAGGTTGAAAATCTTCATCCAAAACAGAAACCAACACTGCGCTTCCTTCGCCCCCCTTGTCCATTTTCAAAAACTTGCCACTAAGAGGCTTAACTTCAGCATCACTTTCTGCAGGGTCTAATTGACCATCCATAACGACACCTTCAGCATCTAAGTCAATTCCTTGTTTCTGATCACCAATAAAACCATCTCCCAAGTTTACAGCTAGATTGCTAGCCTCAACAGCTTCAATCAGCTGTGCTGAAACAGCAACCAGATTGGTAGTTTCACTCCCCACAGCTTGATTGCTAACATCAACAGCTTTGCACACTTCAGCTGAAACAGAAACCAGATCAGCACTTTCTCGCCCCCCTATGTCCATTTCCAGCAACTTCATGTGAAGAGAATCACCTTCAGCTTCCCTTTCTTCAGGGCTTAATTGATCATCTACAGCTTGAACACCAGCATCTACTAAATCTACATCAGCCTGTTCTTCTCTCAAATTTGATGATCCTTCTAACTTTTCATCCACAGCCAGACCAGCACAAACTAAAACAGTAAGCAAACCTTCATCAGTTCTGACCATTTTCTTTTTATTTTCATCGGAAATTTGATTCTGATCATTGTCAAATCCATCTCCCAAGTACATAGCTTGACTGCTAGCCTCAACAGCTTCAAACCCTACAGTTGAAACAGCAACCAGGTCAGCACTTCCTTTCTCCCCCAAGTCCAATTCTGCAACTAAATCAGTTCCTTGCTTCTGATCGCCACCAGATCCATCATGAAAGTCCAAAGTAGTAATGCTAGCTTTAGCAGGTTCAAATCCTTCAGTTGAAACAACAGCCAACTCTGAACTTCCTTCCTCTCTCTTCTCTACTTCCAAAAACTTCCGACCGTGAGACACAACTTCAGCTTCCCTTTCCCCAGAGCCTAAATGATGATCAATAACCAAGCCTTCCACATTCACATCAATTCCTTGTTTCTGATCACCAGAAACGTTTCCCAATCTCGCAGCTTGATTGCCAGTGTCAACAGCTACAAAAGTAACCGGATCAGTAATTTCTTTCTCCCCTGTGTCCACTTCAATCAGCTTCACGGTAAACGACTCAGCATCAGGTACCCTCTCTTCAAGGTCTAATTGACCATCTGCAAGCTCACCACCTCCATCCACCAAATCCACCCGAACCTCAACCTGTTCCCTTCTCAAAATTGCTGATCCTTCCAACCTTTCATCTCCAGTCCGTCCACCACCAACTAAAACAGTCGAAGAAATTTCATCAGTTCCCATCACACCCTCCATATCTACAGCAGCACCTCGCTTCTGATTATCGCCAGATCCATCTCCCAAGTTCATAGTTTGATTGCCAGCCACAACATCCTCAAACCCCACTGTTGAAACAGAAATCGGCTCTGCGCACCCTTTCTCCACAAATTCCACTTCCAAAAGCTTCCCACCATGAGACTCAGCTTCAGCTTCCCTTATAACATTGCCCACCACACCTACGTCAGGACGTGCCTCAAGCCCAGATGCAGCACTCCCCTCTCCGTTACCCATCATCCCATCTTCCCGATCAGCTATCCCTCTCACACATTCATTCTTCTCGTCCCCTCCCACATCCATACTCTCCCCCCTTTCCCTCTCAACAAATTCACCACAAATACTAACCGGTGCATCCTCCACTTCATCCGCCGCACCAGCTTCATGGTCATCAAGTACCGCTCCAGCATCAAAGTTGAGATCGAGACCGCCGGCTCCACCAGCTTCGCCGGCGCCCGACGACATACGGAGAAACCCTAGCGAGATCCAACACTCGTCTCTTTCCCCCCCAACCAAGCCTCGGAATCTAAAACAAAGAAAAATCAAACCCAAGTTCTGTAATTCCACTAAAAACTGAGAAATGACGACGATCAAGCTCTAAATAAGAAGAACGAAAGAAACAAGAAGACAAAGGAGGAAGATGAATTGGAGTGCGTACCTGTATTAGATTTTCAAGTCGCGATGAACACTTTGAACGATATTGGATGGGATCAACAGGGTCAAAAGAGGGTTTAGGGTTTCGTGAAGTGAAGATTCGGAGGTAAGAGAGGGAAAGTCCATCGAGGTTCAGAGAGCCGCTTCTCCTGCTTCTGTCGTCTCTGCAGTTTTGTCGGGATATTAACAGCTGAGTGCAGGAGTAACGAGTCAGTGGGGAGTTGCGGGGAAGCACTTTGATTGGTGAGCTCACTCGATTAAAGGCTGGTCAAGGCTGGTCAAGCCTTGTATTTTGTAGGAAACTGCGGAATTATTTATCTACTTTTGCCAATGGAAATGATATTTTTTTCATTATTTCAAATTACTTCAAATCAAAATAATAAACCTTAGGGATATTCATGTAAATAATATTAAAATTTATTTTTTTTAATAAAGCTAATATTTAGATCATTTTTTGAATGATTGAATTCAAATATTTATGAAGATTGGCTAATTTGGGAAGAAACTTATTTTTATTAGATAGCTAAAATAATTTTGATAGATATAAAATAATATGTAAAAATGAAGGTGTATTAAGACTTGAATTTGAATTAAAATATTGTAACACTTGAATTGAACTGATATTTTACTGGGATATAACACATGTATATCATAGATCTTAGAAGGTTGGCTAAATTTGGAATTCAATTATGTGAATTAAATCATTCAAAAAATAATCTAAATATTATTTTTATTAAAAAAATAAATTTTAATATTATGAAGATTGGCTGATTTGGGAAGAAACTCATTTATATTAGATAGCTAACATAATTTTTATAAATACAAAATAATATATAAAAATGAAGGTGTATTACGACATGAATTTGAGTTAAGATATTACAACATTTGAATTGAACTGGTATTTTATTAGGATATAACATCGGTACATCAAAGATCTCAGAAGGCTACGAGCCTCAAAAGGCACTATGCATTTCAAGCTCTCACATAGCATAAGCCTAAGAAGGCACAAGCCTTAGAATATGCAAGCCCAATAATATACCAACCTTAGAAGATACAAGCCTAAGAATGCACAAACCTTAGAAGATGCAAGCCTAAAAAAGCAAAAGCTGTTAAATTTTTAACTATCACCCAGGTTACCCAAAAACCCACTAACATGGGTCATTTATTTTAATAATAAATTACAATTAAGTAATTAAATTATCTTAAAACTTTTTTATAAGTAACCTCTTAGAGTGGTGGTTACTAATATGTGTTATTTATTTTAATTGATTAACTTAAATCTTTTTTTATATGTAACCAATTTATGGATGGTGGTTATTAATGGGTGTTATTTATTTTAATTAATTAATTAAATTATCTTAAATCCTTTTTGATATGTAACCCCTTTATGGATGGTGGTTACTAATGTGTGTTATTTATTTTAATTAATTAATTACATTATCTTAAATCCTTTCTGATAAGTAACCCCTTATGAATGATAGTTACTAGCGTGTGTCATTTATTTTAATAATAAATGTCAATTAATCAATTAAATTATCATAAATCCTATTGGTCAGTAACTGACCAAAGAAAAATATGTTGAGATTTTCATACCTATTTTATAATAATATTGATGATATTGCACTTTAAATAAGGGTATTTTTGATGTTTTGTTAAGGGTATAAAGAAAGGTATTTTTGATGTTTTGTTGCAAGTATGTTAAATTATGGTCATTGGAGTAAAAAGATGCAAAAAGGACGAATTTGGAGCAAAAAAAGACCAAAAAATGAAGATTTGAACTAGGGCGCCGACGGCGAGCCCAACGGCGCCGACGTCGGGTTTTTCCCGAGAGTCCAGAATCAAATATTCTAGAAGGCCGCCGACGGCGCCGGCTGCCGACGGCGAGAACGACGGTTCTCTTAACAGGTGCATTGAATGTGGATGATTTTTGAGGGGATGCTTAGGCAACTCTTGGGAAAACTCTTCTACAACTTTAAGAGAAATATTTGGGCCAACAAAGAGAGGAGTCCCGTGGTGGTGTATGCTGAGTTTTTGTTGTTTGTAGAGTGTAGAGAGTTTAATTTAGGGTTAGTATTGTGAGGAATTCCTTGAGAGATTGTAAGAGTTGAGGGAAAGTGACAGATTTTTTCCTCCTTGCCGCTTCGAAGAAGAAATCTGTGTGTTGTAAAGAAATGAAGAGATTCAGAGGAACTTCGAGGAGTTTGTTTGTAGAGGAATTAGAGATAAGTGATATTTACTTACTAAAGTTTGTATGACGTTGCTTGTTTTGTCGTATTTTCTCCATGAGTTCTGAGTAGTTTTCTCTGTCTTTCTCCTTGTCTTGAAATTTTGTGAAATAGTGATTTGAATTGGTTGAGCCATGAGAATGTTAAAGAAGTTGTGATGATCTTTTCACTTCGATCTTAATTTACTTTTAATC